ACTGAGTTAGATCCGGGACTTACTATCAATAAGAAAGTAAGAAATGCACAGTTGGCTCAATACAACTTCATTCTGGTTGTCGGCGACAAAGAGTTGGCCAACAATAGTGTGAACGTCAGAACCAGAGATAATAAAATACACGGCGAGTGTTCGTTAGAACAGTTGATCCAAAAATTCAACCGATTTAAAGAAACCAGGATTTTAAACGCAGAGGAAGTGTTCAATGAATGAGAACTATATCTGAATTTACTATTAAATTGATTTTTTAAATGGAAATATAAAATATAATTTATTAATTTTGAATTAAACACTAGTTTTATTGAAAATATGGTTAATACATGTGTTTAATTCGTTGTTTAGATGTGTAATGAGTTGTTGCTGTTTATGATTAGACTTTTTAGTAGCATTAATAGCGGTTATACTAAATGTCGGCAAATCTTGTCTCGTGTCAAAGGGTAAGCCAATGGTTGAACTGATTTTGGCCGCGAATATTGCTTTTCGGGCCTCATTTACGGATAGTGTTAACTGCTTGTCATCTTTTGTGAACAAACTCTTCAATTCAATGTCAACGATATCTTTGAGGCATTTAATGAACTTTTCCTTTACGTCAATCGAAGAAGTGGTTTGAAAAGTGAGATTCATTTCAAACGATGGCTTCTTATAAGCGATTGCTTTGAGATCGCAATAACAGTTATCTGTCGACCACTGCATTACTGGCGCCTCTTTGGGATTCAATAGAGTCGAGTTGCGGTCCTCTTTAGCCATAAGCGAAACCAATTTGAAGCAAATCTCAAACACATTTGAATCGATGTTTGATTTGTTGGCAATTCTTGTGTTTACGGTTTGCATGAGTTTATTGAATAAAGAGTTGTCGCAGAAGTCTATCAAATAAGATAATAGTTTTAGCGAATCGTTGCTCACATTGGCGTCGATATTAGTGAGACCGCAGTTGATATACGTTAAGACAATGGTCATCAGCGGTGACACACTTCCAGTGGTGTTAATCTTATGTAATAACGAGAAACAATGCTTAAGACATTTGATGGAATCGCCTCTAACTCGATGGTCGCTATCATTGAGATATTTGCAAACAGTGTTGACAACTTCGCCACTCTTTGCCGTAACATTGGTTGAATTGATCCAATTGTGGACACCATTAAGACACGCCATCTTCATCTGTGCGTTAATGCCATAATTGTTGGACAATGTCTTAATCGGATCCTTAGATCGAGAGACCATTTCTTTCAACACAATCTTCTTTGACTTGAACTCAGTTTTGGTCTCATTTTGTGGGCCAAGAAGTCTTCGGCCGACCTTTAGCTTTGTCTTCTGGAAGTCCTTTGCTTTTGTCTTCTTTTTGGCCATTTCTTCGGATGATATCTATTATACCATTCAATCACTTCTTCACCATTTAGTCAAACAAAATATGATTTAAACGTTTAAAAGCTTAACACATGGCCTGCGATGCCATTCATAAATAACGTTACGCATGGATGCAGTCATTTAATGCACACAAAGCCGGCATTTATTGCAACGTTATATATGAACGACGCCTTCATTTTTAGCGGCAATGAGTTTGTGATGAATTGCATTGAATTTAAAGTGCAATTCAATTGTCTTTTCATATGATTTGTATTGAATTTAACGACAATTAAGTGTTGAGTTTTGACATCAATTTAGGCACACATTTGTCGCTAAACTACCCCTCGATATAAGAGGTAAGCGTTTTGTTTGTATTTTGTGTTTAATGTTTGGCTATTACTTGAATGCAAAGCAATTGAATCAGTTGTCAGTCAAACCATTGTATGCTTTAATGGTTTAACAATTGATTTGCAATTAAATTACTGTTTATTGCAATACATTGTAAACAATGGACACAATTATAAGCAATGAATACATGATAAGTGTATTGAATGACAAAAACTCGCTATTGATTTGTTTGAACCGATTGTTGGCCACAAACGAGTGGCCATTGAGTGTCCATTTGATCCGCACTTTAGTTGACATACATTTCAATCATTTGGATATTTATGTGAAATATATTTCATCGAAAATATTAATGAAATTATGTGTTAAACATGACATGGATTTGAGTGAACACAACCATCGGTGGCATTGTTTGCCACAAATGTGTCACTTCTTAAGCCAATTGTTGGCTTCCGATGTCTCGGCTGACAGTTGTGTCACATCTAAAGCGTTGATGAGTGAGATGTGTCTCCAATTGTGTCCATCTGAAGAAGTCGTACCATTGGCTCACGTGTGCGAAGACCACTGTCTGTGCTCTACTCCGGAAGCGCTCAAACTATCGCTTTATTTCATTGCCGACAAGGATTTGAATACAATATTAGTAAAAATGATACAAATGTTGATTTCGGGACAAAAGCGCTGTTTTACTAACAAATGTCTCAATTTATTGATTTGTTGTGTCAAACAATTGCCTCAAAACACGCTTATTATGGAAACGATCACTGATTGTGTTTTTGGCGATCATTTGTTGATCCAAACCATTGATATAAGCGATACTTTCTATACATTTGGCGGCAGTTATTCATTGAATGGCAAAGAATTGGCCAATGATTACGGATGTGATGTAGTGATGATCCGACAACTCATTCATCTCTCTTTGTTGACAATAAGTTGCGATACAAATATGAAAAGCGATTCAAATGATGTGAATAGAAATCGTTTGCAATTGATATCAGAATACGTGCGGAAAAAGTGGTCAAAGTTTGATGAAAACGATTGGATTGTGAAAGTGTTTATAGAGGAAGACGAGCAGCTGTTGAGTGCCATGTATTGTGTGGTGAGTTTGGGTGACAATCAGTTGTCACACCAATTGATGGATGCGTTCATCGACTCTATCGGAAGCGATTCCAGTGTACTCTTAGACATGTTGTGTAGTGACGAACAAACGGCAACTCTTTTATTGAAATTATTGTTAATTTATCTTAAATTATGGGATATTAACAGCAATTGTGTAGTGAATGTGAGAAATGTTTTGTTAGAATTGAGAGACAAAATGCAAAGATTGGCGGCGAAACAGTTGTTCCCTTATAATGTCAAACCACTGATTAAATTATTAAATAAACTCAACGCTTAAGAAACAAATTATGACCACAAAAAAACTATGGCTTAAACTTAACCAAAGGTATGGTTTTGTTTTGCGTGCATTTATCGCACACCCACTCGGCGTACACCTCTTGGGTGAGGAGGAAGTACGCCCTGTCTGTGAGTCCGGAACAGATGCGATGGAACCAGAAGTTGCAGCCACTCTCGCAGAGGATGGCCTGATCGTTGTCGTGCACCTCCTTATGGCATATACCGCACGGATATATCGGCGGCGCGTTAGGGTTGGCCGGATTGAACACCATTGACTGTTCCGGAGGGTATATCTTGCCCGACATGAGTGGCACCGGTTTGGAGCCGACGGGCGCTCCCGCCGGAGACATCCCGACGTTGCCATTGATGTTGACAATCATATTGTTGGGCGACTGAGCGTTGTGTTGATTGGGCTGTTGTTGTGTTAGTTGCGGTCCGCCCGACGGTGTCATGGGTTGCGGTGTTAGCGGAGTGTGTGGTGTGCGGGGCGTGTCATCGAAAGGGTTGGACGCGTAGATGGTGTCGCCGTATGGGGTCAACGGCTGCGGAGGAATGAGTTCAATCGGCAATTTGTTGCTATTATTAATAGCGTTGTTATTATTGTTTTGGTTATTATTATTGTTCACATTGGAAGTCCTCCTTTTCTTGGTGTTCTTCGGCATAATCTCGTTGTCATTGCCATCATTGCAGTTGTTCTTGTTCTTGGCGGAACCCTTCTTCGGCATCACTGACACTGACTTTTAAGACACAAACCACTGATGACTGAAAAACAAAGTGAAGAGAAAGGATATAAAGATAATAGCGATCACTAAATGGCTTCACTTGTGAGGGGAGTCACCAATGCTTTCACTCCACCCCTCACTACCAGTGAAGCCTACTTTACATTCATCTCTCAATTCATTGTACTCTCACTTCAATCTTCTTTTATCCAACTTTTCTTTCAATTACTTTTCACTTCAATTCACAAGAATTTTATAGAAATATGCATTTCATTGACATTTTTAATTAAGGCATAAATTGTTGAGATATTTGCTTAAAGAATATTCTGGTTTTTATAAAATACCCATTTATTGAATGAATTAGTTTTTATTGTAATAAATAAATTAAAATAAATTAATTATTTAAAGTATTTCCTAAAATTCCAATGCTTTTGCTCTTCTATACGATTGGATCCGAGCGGTCCTCTAATGCCGTTGTCGTGACCGACGGCAACGTCCGCGCAATTACGGTATATCTCTTGAGGGCCACAACCGGTCGCTTGAGTCCCGTTCTCACAAACGCCCCAATTGTTGGCTATTTATTAGTTTAAACTTATTTTTATCTGCATATTAATATCCTAATGACAAATACCTGACTTCCAGTGCCACCTAAGTATACATCGATCGCATGTCTTGCCTTCAGGTAATTGAACAGTAATGCCGACAACGCCTTTACGGTTGGGATTCAATACCCAGTGATCCATTCCGTCCACTATCTTGAGTGTCTCGAAACAGTTTTCGGTCTCTAAATGAGTCATTAGTATTGAATGAAAAGTTTGTTGACTATCAATACAAACCCATTGTATCGAAACTGTTTCGCCAACACATGTGAAACTGGAAAGAGCCGCCGTGATTGGCCACCAACTGTATCAACACATCCACAACACTTCCCGGAGCGTACGTTCTCGTCGTTATATTGCGGGCAAACATACCTCCCGTTTCGTGTTTTCTCTCCCTATCGTACGGATCGCCACAAATGCCACACTTTCCTCCATTTCGATCCCAGAATGCCTAACGAACTGATTGTTTAATTTATAAAATGATTTTTTACCGCAAATACCTTTAATCCGCCGCAAAACAACTCGTTGTCGCCGTAATCAGGAGGCGATGGAAATCCCAGTCTCCACAAGGAGTTGCGCGCCGGCGGCTCTACCATAAGGCCGTGCTCTCGCGATAACGATATTATATTCAATACAACTGAGAATCCAATGTAAAGCTTCATTCTGTACTCTACTATAACACGGACTGAACTAACGTTTTCTAAAAATAAAAGTTATTTGATTCTTGAAAAAATTCATAAGAAGTGTAAGAAGTGGAGGCGTTTTAATGATAAGTTGTGTGTTTGAAGAGTCTCTGTCCAAATGACAACTGGTTTAACAACTGTTTAACGCTTGCATTCCATTCAAGTCTAATCACATTTGTTTGTGTGAATAATCTCTATCACATTTACCTCTGATCCCATGTGTGAACCCCTATTGAGTGTTCAATTGATTTTTGTTTTTAAATTATTTATTTTATTCTGTTTTATAGAAAAAATGAAATCTCAGAGAAGGAGTTCCTTGAAAGCAGAAAAGACTTCAAAAAACTTGAGAACTAAAGCTAAAAGCAATGCAAACTCGTTAACAAATGTCGACCAAAACAATGGAATTAGTAGTGAATTGTTTGGATATGAAAACGAGTTTAAATATCTGAAGAAAATAGTGGACAACACTATACAGAAGGGAGAATCAAATTCAGTGCTCATATGCGGTGATCCCGGATCTGGAAAGACGGCTCTTCTCGACTGTTATCTCCAAACAATTGAAAACAATGCAAATATTTGTTTAATACGTTTGAATGGATTCATTTATAATAATGATTTGAATACTATTAAAACCATTGGCAGACACTTAGGAATCACTGCCAACACTATTAAAGACATTATGGAAAGCCTTAAGAATAAGTGCATTGAAAACGCAGACTTCAGAGCAATTATAATATTAGACTCTTTTGATATATTCTGTCGACGAAATCAAACGCTTTTATACAATCTATTAGATGTGCTCCAAAACTCGCAATCCATTTGTATTATAGCAATGACTACACGATTGGATTCAATTGATTTGCTCGAGAAAAGAGTCAAATCGCGACTAAATCAGAGAATCATACAATTGGTCACACCTTTCCCTAGTTTTGATGAATACTTTCAATTTGCTGTCAAATTAATGGACGGCAGAGAAGTCTCGGATTCACTTCGAGAGTCGTTAAGAATACAATTCTCACTAAACTATTCGATCAAAGAATTGAAAAGAGTTTTGATGGAAGACATGGTTTGGCAGAAGTTGGGAATCGAGTCCAGTATTACTGTTAGGGACGCAAAGGAGTTCACTCTATCACAGCTCTCCAAGTATGAGATCAGTGTCCTCTTAGTTGCCAACAGATATTGCAAAAACCAAAACACACGTCACTTTCATTGCTCCGCTATTTTGGATGCATTGAAATATTTGCCCCAAATTAAGATCAATAAGAATATGTTGTTTAAGATCTTCTATCGACTCAACGAAACTGATTTGATAACAAGACAGTCGGCCGTCAAATCCAATGATTTACTATTAAGCGAATGGACTCTCTTCTCGTTAAACATCGATGACTCCCATCTGAACCACATCTTAAGCACAAATGCATTTCCAAATTACATGAAACAAATTTAATGATTGTAATTATCACTTAAATTTATGCCATTGTTTTTTACCCTATATTTTAATGTAATTTTATTTTAAAACCACAATAAATCGCGTTTTGAAAGTAGCGCCCAATTAATGAATTATACGAATATATTATTGAATGCAAATGCAGTGAACGTACGGAAAGAGTGAACAAAATGTTTGCATCGATTGTACGGAAAGGTTGCGATTGTTTTGATTGAATGTTAGAAATAAAGTGCAGAAAATTGTTTAGAAATTTGAATTGTATTTTAGGATTGCATTGAATATTGTGTTGATTTTGACGACAATTATGTTGTGAAGAGTGTGTGAAGTGGAGACACAACTGACACCCCTTTGGATGTGATGTCTGTCTTTATTGTCAACCATTTCTATCAGCAAAACATCACTCAATTGAATGTCGAGATCACCAGTGATTTGGTGTACGCCGAAGACCTGGTCATCCATTTGGCCAAACAATTGCTCATTAATCCAATCACAAGACATTTGTTTGGTTTATATCATCAAAACAATCGGATATGGCTTTCGAGCAATCAATTGATCTCTCAATGGACTGAAACCAAAGTCTTGGACTTTCGGCTCAGATTCAGACCGAAACACATCAATACTCTGAAAGTAAGCCATAATTGCATTCACACCACAGATCTGTTTATTACACATTTTACTTCATTTTATGCCAAATAATTGATTTCAAAGAGTATACAAATTATAAGTTTGAAAAATGTGGAGAGAGAGAGAGAGAGAGAGAGAATTAGCCGGGTATTAGCCATTCACATCTAATTGTGTGATCAGTTGTCACATTCAATGATATGGTAATACAGTTATGGTTTGAATTGATCCGTATTATAGCCTATACTGTAAATGTATGAATTGATAATTATGTTGATTGTTATGTGAATTACTAACAGATATACAAATTATATGTCACTATTAGATGATGTGTGAAATGTGGGCTCAAAAACATCATTTCCTTCATATTTATTGTCAAAACGAGACAAAAAGTTTGAAGAAATGACTGATAAAAATGTGTTTTATATTTAATATTGTAATCCATTATAGTTTAGAAAATATGTTGTAATAAAGCATTAAAGCCTCCGCAGGAATTTCGTAGTGTTATATAACTAACAAAAGGGTTCCAAAAAAACACACTTTTTGGCGTACTTTATGGCACTTTATGGTCTCCAATACATTTCAGTGCAAATTTTATTTTATAAAAATCCCAACAGACGGCGACTATTTTATATACCCTCCCGACCGAAACAGTATGATTGGCTGTGAGACATGTATACATGTCACACCTAATCTCACAGCCAATCATATTGCTGTATTGAAGGCCACGTACGTCACGTGATAGTTATATAACACTANTGCCACAAAATTGTAAAAAACCGCGACTTTTCCTCTCGACTCCGAAGGACAAGATTAAGGCCGCCTTTTATAAGGCACTCAATTTTAGTCAACAACAAAACGATCAAATTGTTTACGTCGAACAGGAGTTTATCAAAGAGTTTATCACCAGTTTGTGTCCAAACTATGGCATAGAGACCTATGGTGTGATGTTTGACAACCGTTTTAATGCCAATCGACAGCATTTGGTTGAAGTGAAGGTTCAATACAATCACTTCTCTGATAACGAACAACAGAGCGGTATTATCTGTCAGTATGTGAACGACTCGAAGAGCGAATGGACTAAATTCTGCTCCATTTCCGACATCGGCTTCATATCACTGGACAGTAAGACGAAGACTGTGGAGATATCGCGCACTAATGGCGTTCCCTTCAGTTTCACATTTAAACACGAACTCGACATGAAGTCGTTTGTCTCTCTACTCGACGGCTATTACCGATTATCAGTCAAGTGGTCGTTCAATATCTGCAAAGACATATCGTCGCCGTCATTGTCGACGTTAAGAAAAAACAAAACTCACGGTCCGGTCGACTATGAGTTCGCGTTGAATAAATTGAAGGACAAGTCAAACGACACGACCGGCGCTTATATACTTCGGGAGAGTGTCTCGAAATACAATGAATACAAACTAGAAAAAACAAAACTCACGGTCCGGTCGACTATGAGTTCGCGTTGAATAAATTGAAGGACAAGTCAAACGACACGACCGGCGCTTATATACTTCGGGAGAGTGTCTCGAAATACAATGAATACAAACTCGACGTTTTCATTAAACACGAGTCGTTTGAAACGTTTAAACTAAAAGTGATTAAAAATCAAATTTTTGTCGAAGCGCTGAACCGGTATTTCGAGTCGTTTTCAGATCTCATTAAAAAACTTGCCTTTAATTACGGCGACGAAACCGATGTCAGTCTCAGTCATTGCATTACTCCCAGCGAACACGACCTTCCGTTTAATCTATTGTTGTGTCGCTTAACCACCAAAGAAGACACTTTGAGGAAAGATGGCGACCCATTAGGACCTCCAGTGATCGCCAGTCATTTACTCAAGCTTTCAAACACTACTCTAACTAATAATTCTCGATATGGCGTCCGTTTGGCGAGTATTCAAAACAAACAGTTTATCGTCAAAGAAGTGAAATGTGTTGAACTCACGCATGAGTTCCTCAAAACAGTGTCTCAGTGGACACATCTTCGCAACGACTCGATCATCATATGTCGCGGAATTACTCTATGCTCTCCGCTCTCAATAATACTGGAATATCTACCGATCGGACCATTGGATGCGTTTCTGATGACAAAACGACAACAACTAAAACTCGTCGATTTGGTTGAAAGCATTTCGTACTTATCGCGTGCCCTTTGGTTTCTGTGCGAGAATAATATAGTTCACGGACACATCCGCTGCCATAACCTATTAGTGTCGGAATATTCTTCAAATTGTCTTAAAGTCAAACTAAGTGATCCCATCAGTGATAACGACATCAATATGGAGAGAGTATGGCTTCCGCCGGAATACCTCACCACCAATGAGTGGACTTATTCTTTCAAACGTCTCACACATTCAGTCGATGTCTGGGCTTTTGGTACAACTGTTTGGCAAATATTCAGTTATGGGGCGAAACCCAACTCTGAAGATGTGTTTGAATTGATTCAACCGAGCGATTGTCCGAACGAGATCTGGACACTGATCGGCGAGTGCTGGACAATTGATTGCGAGGCCCGCAAACAGCCGCACAGCATATACAGAGATATCAGTCAAGTCTTATACGAAGTGTTTAACTCTCAACGGAATGATTATTATTCAAAGCCTGTATTTGATGACCAAAAACCAAATAAAACCACTTTATTTAAGGGTTGGTCTAAATATAAACCCAACTCATTCTTCGGCTCAACTTTCTCACTGTCTTCGAGTTCTATAGTGAGTCAACAGTCTATCTCTACATATCTTTCAAACAGTATTAAAGGCAACGAAACGACGATAGGATCTGAGATATGTTTAATGTCTGATCACAACGAGTTTGACGGTTGCAATGGTCAGGCGAACGAGCCGTGGCTCATAGAATTCAATCAACTCAAACTCGGGAAAGTGATCGGAACCGGTTGTTACGGAGAGGTCTTGAAGGCAACGCTCACTCTCTGCGCCGGACTCAAGGAGGAAGTGGTGGCTGTGAAGCGCATTAAAGCCGTTCCCTCTGACAGTCAACTGCGAGATATGAAACGCGAGATCGAAATCATGAAGAAATTAAGCCATAAGAATATTGTCGAAATCAAAGGCTTCGTTGAGGGTTTGTGTCCGTTGTTTGCATACATTTTGATAATGGGATCCATTTTGTTCTAACAATGATTATCTTATAGACTCATCTGATCCGCAGACAATGTTAGTCATGGAATACGTAGAGTTGGGATCATTAGTGGCTTATTTGAGGCGAAATCGGACCAACAAATCGGTCATACCTTTGGTTAAGTTCGCGAGTGATATCAATTTGGGAATGGAGTACTTGGAGAGCAAGTCTATAGTGCACAGGGATTTGGCCGCACGTAATATATTAGTCGGTTCCGAGAATTTGGTCAAAATCTCGGACTTTGGTTTAGCGCAATTCATTGATCCCAATAATCAGTATTATATTATCAAAACAAACCGAGAACTTCCTCTTCGATGGTTCGTATTTTTATAATACAAAATACTTGGCATTGTTTTTCAATAATAGTTATGACGAGTAATAATGAGAATGTGTTATTTGGCACCTATAGGTACGCTCCGGAATCACTCAAGTACTTCAAGTTTTCCCACAAATCCGATGTATGTATTGTTGTTTCCAAAACATTTTTGCCAATAATTAACAATTATTGTTAACTTTTCTCTTAATTTCTCAATTTAATGATTAGATATGGAGTTTTGGGATTGTATTATGGGGTGAGTATTGAAGCCACGTTTGAACTTTTATAATACCGGTAATACATTATGCATTGTATTATTTGATTTATTTGACCAGAAATGTATAGCTATGGAGAACATCCACAATATGTCGATCAAAACCAACAGAATATTCCTGATTCAGAGCTGTTACAGGCGTTAGAGAATCGGATCCGACTCCCACTCCCAGAGGACTGTCCGCTTCAAGTCTATCAGATTATGTTGAAGTGTTGGCAAAAGGATTCACATCTGAGGCCATCATTTAGTCAATTGAATGAATTGATAAAAGAGATTCCGCAATAAATGTGTGCCACGAATGCAATAATAACTGTGGCCTATATTTACTTACATTTTTATCAAATTGAATCCATATTTTTAATTAAATTATGCAAAAACTTGTTTTTAGATTTTCTGGCAGTCAATAGTTATACGGTATAACTTATACCCAATTTGCAATATATTTATATATTTTTTAACAACAAAAAATTATACAATAATCTGTCAAAAGTTAGTCAAAACTTAACAAAAAGCATAGTATTTGTTAAATAATATGACAAATCAAGTGAACAATCAATATAATGGGCGGCAATATTGATGTATAATAATATGGTTGGGAACGACTCAGTTGTGGTGGAAACGGATCCGTAGTAACCGCTGTTCCGTCCCATAGAACACAAAACAATAACTGACTTGAATTAGCAATTATTTCAAACCGATTCTCAATCAACACAAACTCTGTCCGCAATTGAACACCAATTCAATGCATGGATAGAAACTCGCTTTCACTTTGTATTTTGTGTATTGCATTGATTGCCGATTGAGTGATGTCTCAATTCAGTTACTGTTTAACTCTTTAAATATCAATTCGTTAGTGAATTATGTATTGAACGAAAAAATATGTATTTTTATCGCTTTTATCGTATATATTATTTTAAATACGAAATTATTTCTAAATATTGTTTTTATTAAATTGTTGTCTAAATGAATAAATAAATAAATATTTTAGTGAAAACATAAAACCAATGGCTTATTATAATAAATGTTATTTTCGTTTGTATCGAAAGTATTATAGAAAGCTATGGAGAAAAATCATATTAATCTTGATGATAGCATTTCTAACATTTTTAGTGGTATTTGTCGGCAAAAAGCCGGACAAATCAATTGATACATCGGACTGTTATTTACAACAATTTGTTAAAACACGAGTTTTATTGTCCACAACACTCACTGAAGATTTTAATTCCACATTGAATGCGACCGCAAAAGCCAACAAAACCCGTGGAGAGGCTCCCCAGAACTTTCCCAGTGATCTGTTCACTGACCAACAGCGCCGCAATGGGGCCGTTATATTTCATATCGCGGGTCTTATCTACATGTTTGTCGCTCTGGCCATTGTTTGCGACGAGTTTTTCATACCAGCGCTCGATGTGATCACCGAAAAGTTAGAGATCAGCGAAGACGTGGCCGGCGCTACCTTTATGGTAGGATTGGTTATTCATTTTCATTGTTCATAGAATACAAAGAATATTCATTTGATTTTGTTTTGTCTAAAGGCAGCTGGAGGTTCAGCACCAGGTATTTATTTAAATCATTTATTTCTATTTATTTTTCTCATTTTTGCTAATTTATATTTTGCGTAATTATATGACATTTAATGCATTATTTACACAATAGTATTGTGACAATACATCCAAAACGATTAGATGATTGAAATTCGAGAAATCAATAATAGATTTTAATTATTATATTTTTTCTTTATATATGGGGCAATAGTGAAGTACATGAATACTAATGATTGTATCAATAAATTCAAATTTTGTTTATTAATTTGATAGCATGGCTGTCAATTATTCTTTTTATAACATACTTGTAAAGAATATCTATTGCTTTTATAGATATAAGATATAAGTTATATCTATAAATCATTGTTTTTGGATCATAAAGAGTGCATTGTTTTCATGTCTCAATATTTGTTTAAATAAATTCTTAAAATTATTGTGTGAAATGAATTTAACGATATAGAAATATACAGTATTAGTAACAGTATTGCATTCAGTTACTATTGTTTTTTAATTTATATATAAAATTGATAGAAACATTGTTTTTGAGCTAAAATTGTCTCAAAACTACAATTGTTTCGTGACATTGTTTTTAGATAATGAAATCAACCATAATATAAGTCCACTGATAATGAACTTAAAACGGATACTCATTTGACAAATCATTAACTTATTTGCTTTACTTTCGAAATATACTGAAATATAAGATCATTAATATAGAGGATAACTAACAGAATATAGAAATTTTTATTAATTTGAAAATTATTTGGAATGAATTTTATTCTCAGAATAATTTTAAATTCAGTTCAAAACTTATTATAAATAGATATAAATTACATCATAATATGACAATATTTCATTATAACATATTATAATATATCAAACAAGTATCAAACAGCGATGATATACGTTAACCATAATTCGGGTGATTAGCATTATACATAGATTTAATGTGAGTCCCATAGACTTAACATAACCCGATAGGAATAGCATTGCTATAAACTTTACATAAACTAATTATGTATTTTAAATATGTGTGAAATAATATAAATGAGTGAATACAAGGCCTTTATGCTCTAAAAATATACCTAAATATTTGACGAGACTATTAAGCAGTACTTCAATGATATTATATGATAATCGTATGGCAGCCAACTCTAAGTCATTTATCTCCATATTATGCTTTCAACATAAAAATGATTTTATAGATAAGCCGCGCATTAAAATAGAATTTCATTATAAAGAAAACACCACTAAATATAATAATGCATTTTATTCTGTCATAATCTCATCTATAATCTGATCTTTGCTAAAATGGACAAACATAGCGCCTGTGTCTACACTTATGACCAATTAATATAGAAATGATCGAACATCTCGATAGGTCTTTATCACTAGTGTCCGTTTGTCCCGAAGGACACCGGGTTCGGGAGTATTGGGTTATAGTTTTAATGGAAAATATTTTACAATCAAATCATGTAAAAAAGTAGATCATGTAATATATGACTAAAACTTATTTGATGATAGGCATGCATGTATGAAGCAAATACATTTTGATTTAGCCATGTTTAGTTGTAATCGCAATCCTACCCATACCTGTGACCCGGGAGTAGAGCGTAATGTCATGAAAAGGTCAGCTTGTCTTTGGGTCAGTTCCAAAGCTCTCTTAGACCCGTCCCGTGTGTTGTGAGCGGTTTGGGAAACGATCTGAAGGTATACTCGTTTGACGCCTACCATAACACTTATCCCAACGCCTGAACACAAAATGCATTAAATCTTAATTTATGTTAATTTTAAAAATACAGAATTTTCCAACATATGATCAAAATAATCACAGACTAGAACTCTATAGTTTTTGTCATTCACTTTATAAATATACAATACTATTATGATCATTATGATCATTAAACTAATGCACTTCAATAGGCATATTATTATACTGAGAAAATTATCGTGATTCCAAGAATTTAATTTTTATTTCAAAATAAGTTATTTTTTTATATCTTTCTATTTTTCTACATTTAGCAATAAATTAGAATTACATTCGGAAAACACATTTCAATTGATATTTTAAAATCACACGAATATTATAATAACATTCATATATTTCATTACATATTTAGTTATAATTATAATTGGTTAATAAAAAATTAACTAGTAAAAGAATATTCTTTTAAATATTTATTTTAAAAAATATTTAAAATGAATTTTATCTACTATCTTATATGTCTAATATTAAATTTTATGATAAGCCATACAAATATACTGATGACAACACTATGTACTAAATCAAAAGGCATTTATTAATTAATGTACAACACATTTCAAATTTCAGAACAAATATCATGGTTGAAATTCAGAATTTTTATTATTTAATTTTATGAATTTAATATATTTATTTTTATATATTAAAAATCATACCATCATGATTATTTATGGCATTTATAAGTGCAGCATGCAATATATTTTAGATTTAATTTCTTTAATAAATTACTATGTTTTCAAAATTAAATTCATATAAAGATAATAAAAAAATATATTTATGTAATAGTAATGCAATAATAATAAGAATTCTATTGTATTTTTGCATGAATTCTGAGATAAAAAACAAAAAACAACAATAAATAAGTTTTTATGTTTGAAATGCAAATCGATTTTCGATTTCTTTTACTAATATTTTACCAATACTTTAGTTAATCATAAAAATGGATTTTTATATTACTGTATAAGAAATTATTTTTAACAATTAATAACACTAATTAATTGAATATTTAATTATTAACATGATCGATTGTCATTAATAGAGTTGTTTACATCGATAATCGGGGTATTCATCAGTTTCGACGACGTGGGCATCGGCACAATCGTGGGATCCGCTGTCTTCAACATCTTGTTTGTGATCTCGATGTGTGCGATCTTCTCGAAGAGTGTGTTAGTGCTCACGTGGTGGCCGCTCTTCAGGGATGTCTCCTTTTATTCAATAATTCTCGTCTCTTTAGTGCTCTGTTTTAAAGACAATCAAATATTTTGGTAATTATATCCAACCCTTCAAACATTATTAGTTTATTAATTTTCAGACTATGTTTTTGTTGTTTGTGAGCACAGGTATGAGGCGTTAATGCTATTGCTTTGGTACGCGGCATACGTGACATTCATGAAATACAACGAAGTGGTCGAGAAATTTGTTAAAAAGATTACCAATCGATCAAAAGTGGATAAAATACAGGCCGGAAAGTCTCAGTCGCCGCCACCAAATGTCTGTATTTTAATTGATGTACATTTTAAATAAATTATTAAACTATATTATGCTATATTTTGTCCACCATATGATCAGATGGGCCGCAAAATGTCGACTCCAATACTTCACGGCGGCTCTAAGTTTCGTCAGGGAGTGCTTCAGCTAATGATCCATTCAATCGATCCCTTACACGAAGAGACCATCAATAATACAGTCGGCGCTCGCAATGACGCCGATAAGAAGCGATGCATTCATCCTCCCGGAGCCACCACTTGTACTCTCTGTGCCGATGAGAATAGCGGTTATAACCCAAACGGGAACAGCATTTTCCATACGGCAAAGATGGCCGTTCAGGCAAATGAAAGTGATAATCATATGCTTAAAACACATAACGGTTCGGTTGGCGCACAAAATACACAGGTTTTGCCGTTATATTGCAAATTATGTTTAATCTCACAATTTTTAACAACTGTGTGATTAGGATACTGACGAACCGGACGAGCCGTTAGACATGCGATGGCCTAAATCACCACAAAAGCAGTTAACTTACGTATTGTTAGCACCGATTATATTCCCTCTTTGGCTGACATTACCTGATGTTCGCCGACCTGTAAGTGAAACCCGAGCTTAAAATCAATATAAAATAGAATAGAAATAGAAATCGGAAAATTATTTTCATTTCACAATACATTTTATTTAACACAGTGTTTGACAATACTTTGAATCAATCATAATTATCTCTTTATTTATTTGTTGAGAATCTTTGAATTCTTGAATAGTTTGCTTTAAAATTCTATACTCTAATCAATATTCCCTATTCTTGTCATTCAATTCTCGACTCTTGAGATCGAAATCTTGTATTTCTTCATAAATTCTGATATCTTTTGATAATTTGTGTCAAAATGTGTGCATTTGTTTGTTTCCCGAGAGAGTGGAATGTATGGCCATTTACGATATGTAAAGAGTTGTTCATTGTTTGTCAAAAGTGTTTTATTATACTTTAACCACAAATAAGTTACTAAACTCTTTGCTTTAACTCATATTCATTTGAATAAATATCAGTATAACGTATGGCGCGTAACCATTCGCTCAAAGTACAATTGCTCGATACAATAATTTTGAAACAAACTTGATCCAAAATTAAGACATTAATGTGTTTTAATGACATTTATTTATGAATTATATTTAACATTGATAATAGTTAATTTTATAGAAAATTAGTAAATTGTAAATTTGTCGTAAAGTTTATTTAAAATATTAAGCATTTATTTTTAGGCACGAGTGTTTTTCGAGTTTGTGTAATACTCCCAAAAATATATCACTTTAATGTGTCTCTAGTTTTCTATCGTATAATACAAATCATTTATTTATTCTTCTCTTAGGATCACAATATATATTGTTATTATCGTTAAAATATTGTGATTTATTTCAAATACATTTATATTACTATAGCATTGAAATAGTGCATAAAATTACATTAATAATTGTATTCACAATCTATTAATTTATATTTCGTTTCATTATTTACTTTATTATTAATAGATACTATATTTTATTTATTAGAAAATAATAATTATATAAATTGAAAATTTCTTATTAATGTATTTATTCTGTTTGCTTTATTTTGTTGACATTCAAAGCATAGAATAATCTGTTTTCCATTAGTATATCGTTTAATAATATTTGAATTAATAAATGAATTAAATATTATATTAAATTAGTTTTATTATTCAAATAAAGGAGAAGAGAAAATACTTTGCGGGATCTTTTGTGGGATCTATTCTGTGGATTGCCATCTATTCCTATTTGATGGTCTGGTGGGCAACAATGGTCGGCATAACTTTCGATATTCCCAATGAGATAATGGGTCTCACATTCTTAGCGGCCGGCACTTCAATACCAGATCTCATAACATCAGTATTGGTGGCCCGCAAAGGCTTTGGAGATATGGCGGTCTCCAGTTCTGTCGGCAGTAATATATTTGATGTCACAGTCGGGTAATTATTGCTATATTTAGTAATCAAACCAAAAAATCGATTTCAATGAAATGCACTACAATTTTATCCTTTATATCCCAAACTTATTATAATTTTTTGTAAAACATTTTATTACTTTATTACAAGGCATGTTAGGAAAGACATACAAGAATTATATATAAGAATTAATCTTATAAACTTAATTTTAATGCTGGATTGAAATTAGAAATTAATTTTTATTTATTGGTTTCCGCGTTGATTAAATTAGACTTATATCATATACATACATGCACACGTGCAATTATACAACCTATTTAAAACATTGATAGTAATTTAATTAAATATTCTAAACAACTTTTGATATATAACTAATCTAAAAATAACTATACTATACATTTAGTTTTATTTCAATATGATACAATATTTTGCTTTTTAAAAACACTATAAATAATTACATTTAGATAATTATTTGATTGAATACATCATTTTGACAATTAGTATCATTTCTGTAGTTTATAATAATTATATTTGATTTAATATTTCAAAATCATATCTTTGAAGAATAAAATCATTATTTATTAAATAGAAAATAAGAGTCAATTGAGTGAATGATAATCATGTGAACCGTATATTCTTTAAGTTATGAGTTCAGTGAACCAATAATTCATAATAAAAAGTCTCCAACTCTTTAGGAATTATAAGTAAAATATGTGTAAAATTGTGTGAATATATAGACCCCACCCAATACCCCAACACATCCCATTCCGTAGGCTTTTATATATGTTATAAATTATAATTTGGCCAAACATTACATTACATGTAATTTATTTAATATCTATATTAGATTTATTTGGGATTAATATATCAATTATTTTTGGATACTATAATAGTATTACTATTGAATTATTTTATTCTTTGATAATTTATTATGCTTTAAATTTAAACAATATTTTTAAAGCAAATTCCGTAAATTAAACATTAAATTACGCAAACATTAAATGTCTTAATGAAGTGTTTGAAGTGATAAATCATTTCTCAAACTAAAAGATCAATATTTGATTGAATGCGGAAAGACATGAAAGTATATGCCTTAGGAATTGTCAATTTATCGAGTATTCACTTTTGAAGGATTCTTACATTTCACTCATATTAATCATTGGAAGAGAGAGAGAGAGAGAGAGAGAGAGAGAG